AGAAAATATCATAGTTCCAGGTTTTAAGATATACTAGAAAGTATAGTAATCAAAACAATATGGTACTGGCACAAAAATAGAAACAAGATCAATAGAACAAAATAGATAGCCCAGAAAGAAACCCAAAATTATATCTTCAGTTAATTTATATAATGGGAGAAAGACAATCTCTTCAACCAATGGTTCTGGGAAATCTGGATAACAACATGCAAAAGAATGAAACTGGACCATTTATGGAATACACAAAGGTAAATCCAAAATGGATTAAAGACCTAAATGTGAGACCTGAAACCGTAAATATCCTAGAAGACATCACAGTCAGTAATGTTTCTGACATTAGCCATAGCAACACTTTTCTAGATATGCTCCTGAGGTAGGGGAATCGAAAGCAAAAATAAACTATTGGAACCACATCAAAATAAAAAGAGTTTTACATTGAAGGAAACAATAACAAAACAAAAAGATGATCTACTGTATTAAAGATATTTGCGAATGACATATCCAATGAGGTGATAATATCTGAACACAAAAGGAACTGATTCAATTCATCACCAAAATAAAACCCCAAATAATACAATTTAAAAATGACCAGAAGACTTGAACAGACATTTTTCCAAAGAAGACATACAGATAGCCAACAGACACATGAAAAGATGCTCAACATCACTCATTATCAGGAAATGTAATCAAAACCACAAGTAGATATCACCCCACACCTTTCAGAAGAGCTAAAATAAAAAACACAGCAAACAAGTGTTGGTGAGGATGTGGAGGAAATGAACACTCTTACACAGATGGTGGGAATGCAAGCTGGTGCAGCTACTCTGGAACACAGTATGGAGGTTCTTAAAAAATTGTACCCAGAATTATTATACAATCCAGGGGTGCCCAGGTGGCTCTGTTGGTTAAGGAATCGACTCTTGATTTTGGTTGGTCAGGTCATGATCTCACAGACTGTGAGATCAAGCTCTGCGTTGGACTCCACACTGAGCATGGAACCTGTTTGGGATTCTCTCTCTCTCACCCTCTCTGCCCCTCCTCTGCTCACACTCTCTGTCTCTCTCAAAATAAATAAAACATTAAGAAAAAAGAATTATTATACAATCCCATAGCTCCATTACTAAGTATTTACCCAAACAAAATGAAAACTCTAATTCAAAAAGATTTATGCACACTTATTTTATTGTGTCATTATTTATAAAAGCCAATATATGGAAGCTGCTCAGGTATCTATCCAAAGATGAATGGACAAAGAAGATTTGCTGTATATATAAAATGGAATATTACACAGAAATATGAAAAGATGCTCACCATCACTCATTATCAGGAAAATGCAAATCAAAACTACAATGAGATATCACCATACACCATTCAGAATGGCTAAAATTAACAAGACAGGAATAAGTCAGTCGTAGAAAGACAAATATATGATTTCACTCATGTGGAATTTAAGAATCAAAACAAATGATCATAGGGGAAAAAAGAGAGAGAGAGAGAGAGCCAAACAAAAAACTGTTAACTATAGAGAACAAACAGATAGTCACCAGAGAAGAGGTGGGTGGATGAGTGAAAAAGGTGATGGGGAATAAGAGAACACTTACTGTGACAAGCACTGAGTAATGATCAGAAGTGTTGAATTGTGGGGAATAAGCTTAGGAATTCTCTGAGTTGGCACCAATGGGTTAACATGGGTTAACAAGGTTTAGGATGAAATCATTCAAGAGTGGTAATCAGGGCAGAAGCGCCCCAACATAGCACAAAAGCAGAGAGCTTCTTTCACAGGAGGGAAGGACCAGAATAGCTAAACAGGTAAACAGGGCTATACACTGGAGTAGGGAGAAGTTGTCCTGAGCAGAGCTTATTAGCACAAGAAAAGTGGCTTGTTGACCCTGAGGTAGCATGCTCTATATGTCTTACCCCTAGACAAGCCAAGATAAACATATGTGGTGCCTCACACCTGCCATAAGCAGCCATCTGCCCGGCTCGGTTTTTGTTTTGTATTAGACCTAAACCCTTAACATCAGATATCTTTGAAACCCCCTTTCCCTCACACACATGAGTTAACATTCACTGTTTCATTGTCTCTTTCTGCATGTCCATAATGTTTGTAAGCCTTCTGATCCTAATAAGAACAAAGCAAGGACCCTTACTTGGGGCTCTTGTCTCCTCCCAGACATTAGCCTTTCTCACATTTTAATTCTACATCCACTCTCTCGCTGGAAAAGTGAGAACTCCAGACCCAGAGTCTAGGACATTGAATCCTCACACTGTACACCAAAACTAATATAATAGATTATATTAATTATAGCGGAATTATTTAATTTAAAAATGAATAAATAAAATCTTAAAATAATTCTGCTTTATTATACCAACAAGAAACTTAGATTAATTTGTTTTGATTCACTTTGTGTTTCTATAAATGTTGGGTTTTTTTATTTAAGTGTAGCATTATATATCTTTGTAAAACATTTGCGTGTCCTAAACTAAATTAATTTGCATTAAGTAAAATCTTGCCCTTACCACTGCCTCTCCACCCAGGACCATCACTTCTTCTATACATAATTAAATTTTATTTCCAAACTTTTCTCATATTTAATTGAAGAGTATGTGTAAATATATATTCATATTTTAAACTGTCTTAGATCATCAGTAACATTATACACATACTTCTCCATCTTACTTTTTGCATTGAACAATATATCCTGGAGGTGACAGCATAGCAATACATAGGATATTACTCATTTCTTTGTGTAGTTGTCAAGTCATCTATTTTGTGGCTGTAACATTTTCTATTGAAGAATATTTGAATTTCATGTATTATCATCTCAAATTGTGCTGCTGTTAATAATTCTAAGTATATATCTTTTAGTAATATTCCAGATTTTTTGTTCCTTTGACCCACAGCTTTATTTAGATAAAATTGACAAATAAACCCATACATCTTTAATGTATACAATGTGATGATTTGATATATTTGTACATTTTGTGACATGATTACCACAATCAAGTTAATTAATACACTCATCACCTCACATATTTACCTTTTGTGCATGTGTGTGGTGACCAGGCTTAGGATCTACTCTCAGCAAATTTCAAATATTATTATTGTATAGCATTACTACACAGTATTTTTTTAAATAACATTTTATTTTATTTTATTTTATTATTATTTTTTTACAAATAGTTTATTGTCAAATTAGTTTCCACATAACACTCAGTGCTCATCCCCAAAGTGCCCTCCTCCATGCCCATCCCCCCCTCCCCCCCACATCCATCAGTCCTCAGTTTTTGTCAGCATTCAAGAGTCTCTCATGGTTTGCCTCTCTCCCTTTCCCCCACCATTTCCGCCCTTCTTCTCCCCCTTGTTCCTCCGTCAAGTTCCTCCTAATCCTCCTATACGTGCAAACATATGATATTTGTCCTTCTCTGCCTGACTTATTTCGCTCAGCATAACACCCTCAAGGTCCATCCATGTTGCTACACATGGCCAGATTTCATTGTTTCTCATTGCCATGTAGTATTCCATGGTATAGATAAACCACATCTTCTTGATCCATTCATCTGTTGATGGACACTTAGGCTCTTTCCATGTTTTAGCTATTGTGGAGAGTGCTGCTATGAACATTGGGGTACATGTGCTCCTATGCCTCAGCATTTCTGTATCCCTTGGGTAAATTCCTAGCAGTGCTATTGCTGGGTCATAGGGGAGTTCTATTGTTAGTTTCCTGAGGAACCTCCACACTGTTTTCCAGAGGGGCTGTACCAGTTTACATTCCCACCAACAGTGTAGGAGGGTGCCCGTTTCTCCACATCCTCGCCAGCATCTCGAGTTCTCTGATTTGCTCATTTTAGCCACTCTGACTGGTGTGAGGTGGTATCTCAGTGTGGTTTTGATTTGTATTTCCCTGATGAGGAGGGATGCTGAGCATCGTTTCATGACTACACAGTATTTTTAACTTACACATTCATCTTGTAACTGAAAGCATGTACTCTTTCACCAGCATTATACATTTACCCCACTTTCTAACCTCTGCTAATCACCAGTCTATTCTCAGTTTTTATGACCCAGACTCATCAAGGTGGGATCACTAGGGCAAAGTGTAATGTGTGTATAATTTTCCTAAAGATGGCCTAATTTGCCAAATTGTAGGCATAACATTTTGTGGACTCACTAACATTGTGTGACAGCAGCTATTTTTCTTCACTTTCACCCACAGAATGTCAAACTTTGCAATTTCTCCTAATAGTCTAATAGGGGTTAACTGATATCTTAGTGTAGATGCCATTTCTAATTAGCATTTCCCTTACTAGAATGAGAAATTAGATATGTTTAAGGACCATATAGGTTAAAAAATTATTTCTACTTACCTTTATCACAATCATCTTGTCTTTTATTTCCTAACCTCTCAAATTCAGGCAAAAGATATATGTTAACAATCAAGGAGCATCTAGACCTGCAGTATGCAAACACTTGGACTATGTTCCCATCTTAAGCATTTATCCCTCTCACAGAGTACCTCAGATAAAAGTTTCCCTTAGCTAATGTTCCTTTTTCATTGCTGTGACACATGTTCAGCTCATTATGTTTTATGCTTTTAAATAAATTAAATAAAATCCTAGAAAGGAGGATTTTAGTCAACATTTATAATATTTAACAATTAGAATTTATGCATTCATAACAGAATGTCAGAAACACCAAAATAGAGTATGTATGCATCTATCTATCTATTTATCATCTATTTATTTTAGAAAAAATATTTTCATTTTTTAAAAAAATATTTAATTTTTTGGAGAGAGATACAGGTGAACAGAGATGAGGCAAAGAGAGGGAGAAATAATCTTAAGCAGTATCTACACTCAGCATGGAGCCTGATACCAGGCTCAATCTCATGACCATGAGATCATGGCCTGAACCAAAATCAAGAGTCAGAAGCTTAACTGACTGAGCACCCAGACTCCTCTATATGCATTTATTTTAAAAAATCATTTACAAGGACCTACTGTGTGCACAGCTATTTTTTTAAACTATGTCAATAGAAAGACCAGGGCTGAATATGAAGTAACCACCACAAAAAGAGTTATTCTTTCTGCTAAACAGAAAATTTCAGATTCTTGCCCTTCATTTTCCCAAGAAGGATCATGTAAAAGAAGGATTCTTGAGAGCTGGTTTCTCACACTATCAAATAATAGTCATTAAGTTGGTAGTTGGTTCAAGAATGAGTTATGGAAATGTCTGTGAACTCCCTGAGGGCAATGGATCAGGATTGCTTCAGGGAGGCACTAAGTCAACTTTTTAGGCACAAGTGTCATACCAACACTGATAATAATTCAGGAGATGGCTGCCTCACTTTTCCCATTTTCATCCCCAACATACTGATGTAGATAGGCTTTCCCAGAGTCCTCCAAGTCCTTAAAAATTTCTTTTTTAAGAAGAATTTTTGCATCACTTGCTACAGTCTCAAGGAAATAATTTTGCAAGTAGAAACTCTTTTTAAAATAAATACCAGTGGCAATAAATCCTCCGCTAACAGCACAGAATATTTCCACATATCTCAACAGTTTGCCCCCTAAGGATTCATCATCCTTCTCAATTGACAGCAAATGGGGAGACACAAGGTTTGCTTTGAGTTTCTCCACTGACACATTCAAGTCCTTGGCCACAGTTTTCAAGGATGCATCATCCAGCCCAAAGTAAGACCTATAGAGGGTTAAAGTTTCCTCCAGCTTTTCCATGTCTTTATCATTGATCAAGCCCACTAAAGGGATGGTGGCTGATGCTCCAGCCTTCAGGGCCTCCAGCCATACCTTCTGTTTCAGAGAATCCTTCTTCTTGTCAATAGCAGCCTCAGTGACATTGGGCATATATTGCATGAAGATATGGCGCTTGTGGGCTGGGAGCTCCCTCAGAAGGGTAGTCTCTAGGCTTTGGAAATCATAGCTCGACAAATCAAAGTTGGAGATCAAGAAGACCTGAGTTGTACCCATATTGGCATTCTGCAGCTGTGTCACACAGTCATTGCGGATCTTTTGCAGGATTTCATGCTCATTGAATGTGGTGGGTTTACTCAGTTTTAGATTATGTAAATCGCTGTCCACTTTAGTTCGGACAAAGTAGAAATTTTTCTTCATTTTTTTAATTGCCATAGCCAGATGCTCATCATTGATTGTGAAGCGTGTAGAAGAGATGATAATAAAGAAGTCATACTCACCAAATTTCATTTGTTTCAGATACTTCTGTGGCTTTAAGTTAATAGACATCATGCCAGGCAGATCCCATAATGTCACATTGGGAAACTTTGGGTGTCTGTATGAAATTCTGTTCAAGGTTGTCTCCACTGCCCCAGTGGGGGCAGCCAATTCATCCTCATGCCCCACTCCCCGCAAGGCATTGATGAAGCTGGACTTCCCTGTCCCAGACTCCCCAGTCACAGCAATGCTCAGTGGAGCATTGTCAATATCTCTCAATGCATCATTAATTGCAGAAACTGCTCTCTGAAGGTCGCCTTCCTTTAGGTGTGATTGAATCGATGTGATGGTTTCCTGAGAGAGGATTTTGCTTTCTGTCTTGAATTCCTTAAAAAACTTGTCAAAGCTGGAGGCCAAATCACCACAGTTTTTAGGAGAGGGTGTAATAGAGGAGGACTGACCCATTGCTGAACAGTAGAGGGCACTAGAGGAAGGAGAGAGGAGGGAAAGTAAAAGAGTTAGTACAACAAGAGGTGACTTGGGGTGTACTATTATGGGCAGGGAGAACCTCAGTGCTGGCCACCACATTGCATCCAGGAGCCCTTCTCTGTCCACCTGGATGTAAAGTTTGCCCTTGTTCAGGCTCTTTTCTTATCTTGAAAAATCCTTTTTCTTTAATACTCTTTTCATTTTCCAGACTAATTTCAAAGCCTGATTCTTCTATTTGACCTTTCCTTCCCACATTATTCTTTATTTGTTTCACCTCATCTTTCTTTAAGTGTAATGTAATGAAAATAATACTTTTTCATGATGTTAAATCTAATAAGACTTCACCAGATTTGCCCCCATACCTTTCTCACTGTGCTGTAAGACCCTCCAGAAAACCCACCTCTTATAACCTCGAATATCACCATGTAATAGACCTTGGTTTTCATATAAGGCAGCTAAATAAGGATTAGCGCATCCTTACTTCTCAGAAAATATACTCTATATCTTCATTAGGAAATAGAAACTTGTAATGATTACAAATGTGTTTTTTGTTTTCTTTTGTTTTGTTTTTTACCGAGAAGGTATGGTGACTCATGAAACAAGGAGTTGAAAGCACTCTCTGATTTTCCTGGAACATAAATAGTATGTGGTATGGATTCCCATGTTCTAAAAAACCATGTTGAATTATCCACCTGGGGCTTACTTTGAACCATCCCAATTGTTCTGAGACCCCAACCTTCATCTTCTTCATGCCTTTGTAGAAGAGAGGACAGAAATCAAGTCAAGGAGAGAACTGGGAGACTGACTGCAATAGAGTGTCATTGATGGAAAAGATGATGGTAGCAAGGAGTGAAGCAGGAGCTGAATGGGATGTAGGTCAGCCATGACAAAGAAGTCTCTCTGCCACCTTCTCTAATGCCAATTAAACTGAGCTGGATCTGGAGTCCCGGACCTATGTGATCACTGGAGACTTATACTTGGAGATATGGTATCAGAGGAAATCATATACACGGCACTAAAGGTAATGTGAAAGATATGTATACTGTCCCCCCCAGAGATTGAGAGCAGAAGATTTAGATCAGGAAAGAAGTCACCTTAGGTCATCACTGATGTCTGGGCAGTGGTGTTGCAGAGGTGTCCTTTGGTTAAATGTTAGGGCTCAGACACATTCTCCAGGGGCTTCCTGGGAGCCACAGCCTGGAGCTGAGGACAGAAGATGGCAAAAACAAATTTGGGAGGAAATTATTCAGAGCAAGTGCACCAACTACAGACTGGTATACATACGAATGAGGAGTGCAAACATACTTCTTAGAAGAGAGGAGTGTGGAAATCTAGCTTGTCTAGGGTGAAAGGGACAGCTATTAAGCAACTAAAAAAGGATGACACCAAAACTTCTGACTGCCCAGCAGGAATATTCGTCACATGCATAAGAATGGAAATCTTAAGTGTGTGGCATGTACAAGGTCAACCCCTCGCTGTGTGGAGAACAAATCACCCCACCACCCCTTTGGGAAGTAAGCAGCACACAAAGCAGAATGAGCAATACTGAATGTGGAAGATGTTACAAACCAGGTCTCAAGGAGGAGCCATTGAGGTGAGAGTTAACGCTATCAGGTGTGGTCTCATGCCTGTGCATTCTCAAAGGATGTGGGGAAAAATACACAGGAGGGTGAGGCAATCCTTGATTGAGGCAAAGAACAAATGTAGTAAAAGGGAACTAAATGACAGAGTCGTGAGGGCAAACAGATGTGGATAGCAAAATTCTCTGTGTTGATCACATTTCAACAACACAAAAGGCATGCCCTATTGTTAAGGTTCCAAACCTCACCTGATGTTGTATGTGAAGTTCTGTTTTCTAGTATATTCTGTTGCAACAGCAATGCAGGGGTAGCAGGGGTAGAGTATTTTTTATGATATCCGTAGGAGCTTGTATTCCAACCTAAAAGTGTGTCTTCTGCAGTTGAAGAATAAATGGAAAAGAATGTGAGAAATCCATGCTAATAAACTTTAGATGTGCCTCTGTACACATATTTCTCATCTTATCCTCTTAACAACACTTCAAGGACATTATAATCATTTCCACTTTCAAATTAAGTATTTACACAAAATATAAAAAATAAATATTCAAAGAGGTACATGCACTCCAAAGTTTGTAGAAGAATTATCAACAATAGCAAACTATGGAAAGAGTCCAAATATCCATGTCCATCTCTCTCTTAAAAATAAATAAACATTAAAAAAAACCCAAATAAGCAAATGAACATATGGGAAGAAAAAAGAGATAGAGGGAAACAAACCACAATAGGCTCTTAATGATAGAGAAAAAACTGAGGGCTTATGGAGGGAGGTGGGGGGGGTAGGCTAGATGAGTGATGGGTACTAAGGATGGCACTTGTGATGAGCACTAGGTGTTGTATGTAAGTGTTGAATCACTGAATCCTATTCCTGAAACCAATATTACATTGTATGTTAACTAACCAAATTTTAAATAAAATATATTTTAAAAGAGATAGAAAAAATGGAGCTTGAAGAAAAAAATCAAGTAAATGATGAAGTTGAGAGATAGATGAAAGAAAACCCACTATTAGCAAAGGATTCAAGGTGAGGGCCCTCATCCAAGGGCAGATCTCTGCCTGATGAAGCAAAGACGGAACACACAATTGGTAGGGAGAGGTGTGACTAGGACTCAAAATGAAGTCAGTATAAATATATAAGATTCATATTTCGATGGAGTGTTGTGTTAAAATGAAAGCCACAGGGCCATAGTAGAGCCACTTAAGTCTAAGCCCCAAAGAAGCAAACCAAGCCTTAATATTTAACAGCAGTTTCAATCCCTGGTAATGTAATCGTTCACAAGTTAACAGGGCAATTTCCTGGTCAGCACTGAAAACTGTACTGAAAAATCCCCTTCTATCCCCTTAGAGAGGCAATCTTGCCTATGACGATGGTTTCTTTGCAAATAATTGTTTTTCTGTTTTCTCTCTTCTCTTAAAAATCTTTTCATTTCTGGGGCGCCTGGGTGGCTCAGTGAGTTAAGGGTCCAAATTCGGCTTGAGTCATGAGGTCCTGGCTCAGCTCATGATCTCCCAGTTTCTGGGTTTGAGCCCTGCATCAGGCTCTGTGCTGATGGCTCAGAGCCTGGAGCCTGCTTCAAATTCTGTGCCTCCCTCTCTCTCTGCCCTTCCCCTCCCTACTAATAGCTTCTCTCTCTCTCTCTCTCTCTCTCTTCCTTCTTCTCTCAAAAATAAATTAACCTTAAAAATTTTTTTTTCAACTTTCCATTTCTGCAGTATAATGGAACTCCTTTCTATTTGCTTATGGCATACTGCCCAATTCAAAATCATTTAATAAAGACCTAATGAGGTCTTTAGAATTTGCTTAGTTGAATTTTTTTTCAATAGATTTGGCGACAGTGTCTAGATCCAAAGCAAACTTCTGACTGGGTTTGTGGACAACGAGAAACATAGGTGTGGAGTCCATGAATTCTTTCAAGTTCACTGATTTTCTCATCTCTTTCAAGGACCATTGGTAACACTATCTTGGTTTGAGTTCTGGGTTTTTGTTTTGTTTTGTATTTTTATTTTTTTATTTTTTTGCATTATAGCTCGATCAAATGAGATTTCCAGCCCAGATGAAGGATCACTATGTCACTTACAGAAGGTTCTGACAGAGCACCAGTTCTTAGCCTTTGGTTCAGTCCACAAGTCCACATTGGAATCTCTTCCCCAATTTACAGTCCACAGTCTCCATTTACCACTGTTTTCTGTCTGTTACCTATTTCTTATCTGCTGTCTCTATTAATGGAATCTGCTGGTTTAGTCCATTCCATGATGGAAATTGATGGTGAGGAGTAGAGGGCATTTTATTGAATAGTCCACAGTAAACTTCTAAACCCTTGCCTTTTTGGTCTGAACTTATATTCCAAGTTGGGAACTGTTGGTTGTAGCTACAGATCTCCATGTATGTGAAATCAGTCTGCAGTCTCCATTCTTTAAAGTCTGTTATTTCAATCCTTGCCCTAATCCCTAGTTATTTGGCTACTGGCTATGTTTATAATTCAATAACTCAGTACTGTTGTTTTCTGTTAATAAGTACATGTGGTAAAGGATTCTCTTAAAGTAAAGTAGTAAATAAACAAATTAATAAATAAGCAAACAAAAATAAATGAGATCCTTTAAACTCTAAAATGTTAAGTGGTTTACCTCCAGCACATTGTGTATGTTATTTCTAAGATCTATGGTTCTGCCTCTTACTCTGTTGGTGAGAATGAAAACTGGTGTAGACACTCTAGAAAACAATATGGAGGTTACTCACAAAGTTAAAAAAAAGAACTACCCTATGATCCAGCAATGGCAGTGTTAGCTAATTACTCAAGGAATTAAAAAATCTGAATTCCAAAGGATACATTCACCTCAATGTTTATAGCAGCATTATCTATAATTGCCAAATTATGGAAAGAGCCCTTGCAATGTCATTTGCAATGACATGGATGGGGATATAGAGAGTATTATGCTACAAGAAATAGGTCAGTCAGATATAGAAACATACCATATGATTTCAATCATTTGTAGAACTTAAGAAACAAAACAAATGATCACAGGGACAAAAAAGAGAGGCAGACCAAGTAAAGACTCCTAACTATAGAGAACAAACTTATGGTTACCAGAGGGGAGGTGGGTAAAGGGATGGGGATTAAGGAGTGCATTTGTGAAGAGCAATGGGTATTGTATGCAAGTTTTGAATCACTAAATTGTACACTAATACTACACTGTTTTTTAAATAACTAGAATATAAGCAAAAACTTAAAAAAAAGAATTTTGGTTCTGGAAGCCATAAAAATCTACAAGCTTGTTTTGTGTCTCAAATAAGTTGGCTTGGTAACTTTCAGGTTGGGCATCACAAAATAAGGCCACACACACACACACACACACGTGTGAGTTGCCTCTTATTTGCAACTAGATATGGTTGGACAGAAGTGTTTAACTCCATTTATGGCTAGGGTCCTTCCAAACTGCTGCCAGCCCTCAGGGGAATTACAACATAGAATTACAGTGGCCTTTATAGGGAACATACAACTAAATAAGATCATTTAAGAAGTGCACTTAAAAGCAAAGCGTCAAAATTCCAAAACTCACTTCACTGAAAGTGTCATTGCAAAAAGCTGGTAAAAAAAGAAACGGAAAAAAACAACAAAAGAAATACCTAGTACAGAAGACTACAGGACTGATGTCATTCTTATTTGCTTTCTACTATCCTCCTTTATTTGAATACTCACTCTAAGTTATACTTTGTTTGAAATGCCTTGACAGAAACCATAAACAGAAGTCAGCTGTAGAGTCAATTCAAAGTTCAATTATTCCTTTGCCAGCCCCCCAATTTCCCCTGCTTATCTTGAAGGGCTTGTGAGTTATTTATCTTAGGAAACCGAAATAGTTATTGGAGGAATCTGCATCTTTTCTCTTCTCTCTAAAGCTACACATCTTATCTTGTCTTCAAAATATAAACACACCCAAAATAGCTGGAAGGTAAAGGGAGAAAAGGGAAAGAGGTCTATTATACTGCAAAAAATGTAGTATTATACTGCCAAGAAATGGGTGCTGTGCCTAAACTCTGGAACAGTTTCCTTAAGATAAATTCCAGGGATAAACACAAATCTTAAAAATCTCCTCTAAAGACTTAAAAACGCATGCAGATTGAAAGTTAGGAGATGGAGAACCATCTATCACACTAAGTGTTATCAAAGGAAGGCTGGGTGGTCACACTTATATAGACAAACTAGATTTTAAAACAAAGATTGTAACAAGACATGAAGAAGGGGATTATATCATAATTAAGGGATCTACCCACCAAGAAGATCTAACAGTTGTAAATATTTATGGCCCCACATGGAATACCCAAATATATAAATCAATTAATCACAAACATAAAGAAACCCATTGATAATAATACCATAATAGTAGGGGACTTCAACTCCCCACTTAAAGCAATGGATAGAAAATCAATAAGGAAACAATGGCTTTGAATGACACACTGGACCAGATGGCCTTAATAGATATATTAAAAACATTTCAACCTAAAGCAGCAAAATACACATTCTTCTCGAGTGCACATGGAACATTCTCCAGAATGCATCACATATCACATATCAGCCCTCAACAAGTACAAAAAGGATCGAGATCATACCTTGCATATTTTCAGACCACAATGCTATGAAACCAGAAATCAACCACAAGAAAAAGTTTGTAAAGACCATAAACACATGTAGATTAAAGAACATCCTACTAATGAATGAATGGTTAAGAAAGAAAATAAAGAGGAAATTAAAAAACACATGGAAGCCAATGAAAATAAAAACATGATAGTCCAAACCATCTGAGATGCAGTAAAGGCATAATAGTGAAGGATATAGCAATCCAGACCTTCTTAAAGAAGGAAGAAAGACCTCAAATACACAACCTACCTTATACCTTAAAGAGCTGGGAAAATAACAGCAAATAAAGCCAAAAACAAACAGAAGATGGGAATTAACAATGATTAGAGCAGAAATCAATGATATAGACATTTTTAAAAAGTAGAACAGATCAAGGAAATCAGGAGCTGCCTCTTTGGAAGAATTCACAAAGTTGATAAACCGGATTGATCAACAAGAAAAAGGAAAGGATTCAAATAAATAAAATCACAAGTGAAAGAGGGGAGATCACAACCAACACCACAGAAATACAAAAAATAATAAGAGAATATTATGAGCATTTATATGCCAACAAATTGAGCAATCTGGAAAAAAAAATGGACCAATTCCTAGAAACATATAAACTATGAAAACTCAAACAGGAAGAAATAAAAAACTTGAACAGACCCATAACCAGTAAAGAAGTTGAATCAGTAATCAAAACTCTCCTCTGGGACACATCAAAGGTGGTTATAAATAGGGAAGTATATAGAAATCCAGAAAGT